TCCCTCACTGCTTTATTTAGACAACTTACGGCCTCTATTTTTCCGTTACCAATAATATTTGATGATTATGTTATAATAATACCTATATGAGTTTCTATATTCTGTTAGATTAAAAGTTTGTTGCGTTTTGTTTGATTCTATTAAACGTTTGTATAATAATTGTGGTATAACTTATTTTTTCTACACCCGTATTATAATAATATAACCCATTATAATACAGATTTTTCATTACGATACAGATTTTTAATCAATAGAAACCTACAATTTTTCAATCAAGCATGCTGTTTGACGTTTGTCCTAGGTTCCTATGTAATTGTTTTAGTTGTCAAAACGTATTAAATTTTCGTAGGTAGCTAAACTTCGATAATTATAATATTAAAATGTCTGATATTAGCGATATAGAAGACTCCTCCACACATATCGGAGAAAGCAGAAAATACAGTACAAAATATTTTGCCGCAAAAATCTAGGGAAATACCAATACCCGAAGTAATACCATTAATTACAATTTTGTAGAATTTTTTATAGAAATACGAGTAATTACTGTTATTGTGTTCAATACCAATATAAATATAATATTTATAGGTCTTGATTATTTATCGGGTGTAGAAAAAATAGCGTATGCAACTCTCATGTAATGGTTATTAAAACACTCGCATAAACCATACGAAACTCGCCTTTGGCTCGTTTCGTATCCCGGTTAATGCTCGTGTATTAATAACCATCATTACATGATCGTTGCATAATATACTATTAGTACCTATTTTTAGTTTTGTAAAAGTATAGCATAGGCGGCGATTTGGTTAGGTCTATAGGCGGTACATTTGTAAATCCGCCCCTGCGTTTTTGTTTGTACATAAAATTTGTTTAACTACTATAATTTTTAGTATTAAAGATCATTTCTAATAGCACAACTGTGAATTACTGTATCAATTTATTCTGCTTGACGGCTAGCAACAAGTTTTTAAACAGGAGTGCGTTTAGAAACCACGCACGGCGCGTCTGGGCTTTATTCTAATGTATGCAAGGTTTCTAAACGCACTCCACTATTACTTAAGTCAAACTTTCTTGACATTGACAGATGCCAAAAAAAAACAGCTACTAGAATTAATTACGGAAACATTATTTCAATATTAAATAAACTTTAATTCCTCCCTGGAAATATAAAAATTAGGAACTAGTCCTACTCAGGTAAAATAACATTTAATACTGATCTGTCAAATTTAATTAAAAGTAGCTACATTCACGCTTAATATGGCGTGATACAATTCACCTTAACACTCAATGAAATTATAAACAACCTACTCCATTTTTTTCCAACATGTTCCATAATAGGACATAAAATATATGTATGGGCAATATGCTGAACAATATCAGGAAACTATTGTGAAGTAAATTGAGTTATTTATAAAACTATTTCCTTGTTTGTGTTATTTGCAACATAATCGGATATGTAAGCGAGTACGAGTAGTTAGGTATTGTGGTTATTTGTTATTTGAAAACTGCGTTCTATTTTGAACGATACAAAAATAAACTTTAATGAATATTTAGTTGTTTTTCTGATGGATTTAACAAAAATTGGTTGCCATACCTGCAGGGACATGAAAAAATATATTTTACGTAGTAATTTTAATATAGGGTTCGGCAAACCTCTGTCGTAGTTATATAACTCATACTATGCAAGACAACGATTCATTTGAATGATATGTCAGTGGGAGTCAAAACCTAATATTTGGAAATTCTTATAATACATACCGAATGGTCCAATAGTAAATGAGGCAAATCACTTTTCTACTAATTCATCTATTAGGAAACCCTTCATCTAATTCAACTGCCACCCTGCGTAAAAATGCTCTCCTGTCCCATTATGCTGGTACCACATTGTTTATCGAACAATATGGGAAATATTTTCAAGTAGAACAGGAAGAAGATTTGCTAAAAAATCTAAATACATCTAACGTTGCCATCGGACCTTCTGCGATAAGCACATTTCATACCTACGTGCTTTACTTACTACGTCTCGTTCCTCGCTGACAGCTATCAAGATGCAACTAAGAATGGTCGAAAAGATAAACTAAACCGTGGCAGCAACTTACAAAAATTTAAATGAAAAAAAGTCAAGTTTACTTAATTTTAAAGAAAAAACTATATCGGCAAAATTTTACGTCTATTAAAAAAAATCATGGACTGTCCCGGAAACAATTATTACTTCTGAATTACTACCTGAATGTTCATAAAAATCGAATAAAAAATAAAGGATCTAGAACAGGGGTTCCAAAACTTTTTAGTCCGGGGGCCGAATGACCTAATTACTTAATAAAAGTGTGGGTTGGCGGGCCGCACATTATAAAAATCTGATGTGTCCAACACATTACTTTCCTATTTAGATATTACAGGCTTTTTTCGGTTATTTTGTACAACCTATTGTAGCACCTCTGTAAATATTTAGAGGTAAACTTAATATATACATTTTCCACATCAAGAGAGGGAAATCAGAAGCTCACAAAACCTATATTAAAATGATTTGCTATAAAATGTATCTACCAAAATTTCTGTAAACATTACACATTGTGTATTTTAATTTAATGTTTTAAGGCCTGTTCTTAAAATGATTAGAAACAGTAACTATAACAACAAAGATTATGCCCAGTGCTCCAAATAATTTATGGCGAAGAACCATGACAGTCAGTGGTTGTTTAATTCTGGTCGTGGATTTGAAAATTTAAATGCGGAACTTATTAGTCTCTGATTTCTAGTGCGGAACGTAGCATTCGTTTATACCATAACCTAACAAAATTGGTACTGCTTGTTGCATCTTGCAAATTTTTATCTTGAATTTTATAATATTTATTAATATTCACTAATTTTGCTTTAGCATCGTAAACCTACAATCGTGATGAAAATCTTGAGAATTTTTGAGATTTACGACATGAGGAAGCAGAACATATAAATTCGCTATCCGTTGATGAATACATGAATACATGGTGTTCCATTAAAACTTATACTAAAAAATATTTGATCTATTGGCTTTATACATTTGCAATTTTTTTTTTGATTCCAACGTTAAATCTGAGAGAACAAAGCATTTTTAAATAGGAGTATGAAAATGTAATATTTTTCGGTAAAAAATTCTCTAAAATAATATTTTGTATATATGTATCAGCACCTATAAAGTAACTAAAATGTAAAAATAGTTGGATCATTCCATACTTTTCCTACAACCACTTAGGACTACATAGTCCTATGGAAAGTGCCCTATATCACACGCGTATAAATAAGAATTTACTTTCCACCCGTGTGCGAATATGATACTTTTCGCATCAGCTGTCACAAAATGTCAAACGCATCATTTCTATTTTGATCTATGTAATGTCCATATGCCCCAGGATGAAATGCTAAAGAAGTAGTACAGTTTTGTGAAAAACTTCAAAACCACAGAGCAGGGGCCCTATCCTCGGCTATCGTTTTCTAAAAAACGTATACGCTTTAGCAACATACGAGCTATTCGCTATTCTCGACATTCGTTTTAAAAGCGTGTACGCTTTTAAAACGGGTGTTTTACAGCGAGCGGAATTTTTCACACGTTTTTGATAAAACGTGCATGTTTTCAAGGATTTAGTCAATGTCACTTATATGTCACTTTTAGGACGATTAATAATATTGATTGATTTTAACAAATTCTAGGTAAACTACTTTTTATTAATACCTACAAAAGTATCTAATTTCTTATAAATATGGTTTGCTGTACTAAAGAAGTAGATTAGCTGTGACGGCCCGCCCCCAGGCCCCCTCTTCTTTTAGATTTATTCGTTATTTTACTCTCTTTGAAATGTTATTTTTTTACCTCACAAGTTTTACTTTAAATTCTATACTTACTGTAATTTGGCCTTTTTCCTCTAGTAGTAGAAGTGATCGTCTAGTTAATTAATTGATATTTTATGTACCCACGTTGTGATAATGTTAATTAAGGTAAACCAGAATTCGATGCAAAGTTTGGTGCAAATTGATAAATAAAACATACAAATTCATATTTAAACTCTTATTTATTTTTCATACTTTAAATGTGATGCAATAATTAGCAAAGTATCTTACAATTGTTACTATTTACTGAGATCTCACTTGAGTCCCGTTCAAACGCAGACCATATTCATTTGCTATCAATATATATCCTATTTAGGTTGATGACCAACAGAGTTAACAAACAGCGTCAATTCGCCAGTTGATTAACTATAGTGTTGTTGTTTATATTCTGATTTAGGTTGATGACCCACGAAGTTAACGAACAGCGCCAATTCACCAGTTGATTAACTATTGAGTTGATGTTGATTTGATTCTATTGTAGATATATACAGGTTGCACCCTCTTAGGTAAATATTACGATGAGTATAGAGGTGTGACCAACGGAAGTAACAAACAGCGCCAATTCGCCAGTTGATTACCTTACTTTGTTGATTTCACATATACTTTGTTTCAAACCTTGTAGAACGGGTTGCTTAGCGTATAGGTGTCCCCCCTTGAGCTAACGAACAGCGTATTCGCCAGTTGGTTAACTTACTATTACATTTTACCATCTTGGTTTGTACAATTTATCCAAGATAGCACAACCCTGTATATTTCCAAAATATTGATCTTTATAATTTCTATTGATATGACTTAATACAACCCTGTATGTATTTTAATATTGATTATTATAATTTCTATTGAAATAACTTAATATAACCCTGTATATTTCTTAATATTGATTTTTATTATTTCTATTAAAATACTCCAAATTTCATTCATCGTAAAACAGATGTTATCCTATCTTTCGGGGTGTATGACCTGAAAGCCATGTGGTTTATTGGTTAAATTGATAATATTTTACAGCAAATGTCAGGCCGCCCTTAAACGAAACCGGGGGTGGTATCTCAAAGAAGGTTAAATAAATCTTTTGACTCACCATTGAAAATACAGACATTAAATTATGTACTAATTTCATCTAGCGTCGTGGAAGGCGTCGATGTAGGTACGTCGCAGGGTTGGGCGTCGAGGCGTCCATCGTCGAGACGTCTAGCGTCGTGATGGAAGGGAAGGTATTTAATACGGTACTGTATTGGGACAGATATACGGTAGAATTAAGTAGGTGGTGCGGGACGTGATATTATGAAGGAAATAATTATGGACGGCAAAGCGTCGGAAATAAGGCGTGGGACGTTGAGCGTCGAAATGAGTGTACGGTAGGAAATACTTAGATGGTGAGGAATGTGACAGCGTTCGAGACGTAGGGAGTAGGATGGCAGGAAGTTGAGCGTCGAGACGTTGACACCGTCGGGGATAGGAGGTATTGTAGGATAGACGTCGTTTAGGAGGAGCGTTTAGGAAAGGTACAGATTATATAACTGGGTACAGATAATAAAATGTATGCTTGCACATCAAATGATAAAAATTGAATCGATCCGAGCTCATTTTCGTCAGACTTTTTATACACAGTTTAATCGTTTCTGTGACGTCTCTATCGTTTTGTTTCTCATAGAAAAAAAACGAATGTAGGTGCAAAAGGGGGTGGGTTATTTATTACTTGCCTTGAAAGTTTTGTATATCGAAATATTGTCGATATCGGTCTGAACATCGAAACTAGGAAAATAAGCGACTTAAGTGTTTTAATGATAATTACTTCGTAAACAGAAATACACTTTATGGTGTTTTCTTTCTCTAGGAACTCAGCCACGTGCATCTTTTACGGACGTGGTTATAGATATTATTTATTAGGTGTCGTAAATAAGATTTAATTATCTGGGAGATTTTTCGTTAAATGAAGAATTTTGAATTTAAAAGAATGCAATATTGTATTTAATAAATGGAATTAATAAATTATTAAGGTACCTGGGTGCGGTAGGTTACACACACCCCCTAGATGTTAATTGCGTAGTAACATTGAAAATGTTTAGTAGTTAACATCTTAAACGCTTACCAAGGTCTGTACTTTCATTGCTGTTTCAAAACATTTTACCCTTGTATATTATTATGATTATTCTCATTACCAGTATTCTAAATTTTTTTTTTTTTTGTTTTTTTTTTTTCTTTATTTTTTTGTTTGTTTTTTTTTTTTTTGTTTAATTTTTTTTTTTTTTTACTTTGCGCTCCGGGGCGACCTTTCGGTGTTTGATGGTGCCATTCGACTTACAGGTAAGGGAAACCCGGAAAACCTCACCCACCATCATACGATGTTGCGTGTTCTTCTCACCACCTCGGAACTCTGCTGTGTTGTGTACAATGTCCAGAGTCTCTTAACAGTCAGTATCTATATGAGGAATTGTGTTTCTCATTTTTGGGTTTACCCCCAAGACTAATACATTTTTCTAATTTCTTGTCGATAGTAAGACGTAAATAATATTCGGCTGGATATCTCTTCTTGACAAACGGTACATCGTTTGTTATCTTAATTTCGTTTTTATAAACTTGAGTAGGTAAGTTTCTCTGGTTTATCGGAGAACACAAGTGGCTAAATTGTGATAAGTGCCCATAGAGACCTTTTCTATGCAATTTAACTAAATTGCCCTTTTTTGTCTTTTAGGAAGTAAAATTGTTAAACACATGTCAAGTGGCTTTTGTGAATTTGTAAATTTCTTGTTATCTTCGACTTTCACAATGGAATATTCTTCAATAAAATTTGTATGTGAAGTGTTGCTGTGATTTATATGGTTATTGCCCTTTTTTGAAAAACAGGTGGTGTTATACTCTTCCTCTGTGACCATTATATCTTATATTACAGAGTCGGATTAGGATTGTCAGGCACGTCGTAAATAGCTTTGCTAACAAACAAATTTAACGATAATTGTTTGTTTCTTTTTTTTTTTCTTGGACAAATGTTTTCTTCATAAATAGGTTGCCTCATAACGAAAAGTCGGGTGGAATGGATCTTTGGATCTTCGATCGTCATTTTATTTTACAGATCTTTGGAAATATATTAATATTTTTCGGCGTCAATCATGACACATGTTCATAATATTTACAAGTTTTATCGAAATCTCAGCGTGTTGCTTAAATGGTTTATGTGGTTTTGTTCTTTATCGCTTTTCTACTGGATATACGAGATAGTGGTTTGACGATTCTTATTTGCTAATTCTTTTTGGACATTGAAAGAATTAAATTGTCTTTTATTTACTGCATTGATAGGCACTCCTCTAGCTTGTTCGAATTTTCTGAAGTACACATATTGGTCGATCACTTTTAGGTTCTGTACTGATGAGTGATCGCATGTTGTTACAATGTCGTAGCGAAAATGAAACTTTAATTTGTCTAATTAAATGTTTATTTAGTGCCAATACTTTCTGTATTTGGACGTGTACTAGTTGCTGGTCATCTAAGACTTGTTTCATTTGGATTGGGATTCATCCCTGGATTTCTTAATGTCTCCTATGGACTGGGTGGTTGTCCCTGTGTTAGGAATTAAAGTTGGTTCTATTTAGTAGCCTGCTATCTGGTCCTCTGTTGAATGGATAAAGAAGTCTTCTTTCATTTTGAATTGAAGTTCGTCCATGGCTGTCTTGATATCCACTAGAAGTTCTGCGAAAGTTGCTGTTGCAAGGGTTGAAGTTCCTGTAGCAAGGGTTGAAGTTCCTGTCGCAAGGGTTGAAGTTCCTGTCGCAAGGGATGAAGTTCCTGTCGCAAGGGTTGGAGTTCCCGTCGCAAGGGTTGAAGTTGGTTCCGACTGCTGTTGAGTCTAGTTGCCACTTCCAAATGTTAGGATCCCTCATTGATGATGGTTGATTCGTTTTTATGTAAAAGAGAAAACGGAAAGAGTATCAGTTCAAAAATATACCGTTGAATTTTATTTTTTTTAAATTAATTTGTTTAAATAGTTTTGTTTGTAGGTTTTATTTATCTTGCACCAATTTAAATGACTTTACATCCTGGTCACGGCACCAGTGTGACGGCCCGCCCCCAGGCCCCCTCTTCTTTTAGATTTATTCGTTATTTTACTCTCTTTGAAATGTTATTTTTTTACCTCACAAGTTTTACTTTAAATTCTATACTTACTGTAATTTGGCCTTTTTCCTCTAGTAGTAGAAGTGATCGTCTAGTTAATTAATTGATATTTTATGTACCCACGTTGTGATAATGTTAATTAAGGTAAACCAGAATTCGATGCAAAGTTTGGTGCAAATTGATAAATAAAACATACAAATTCATATTTAAACTCTTATTTATTTTTCATACTTTAAATGTGATGCAATAATTAGCAAAGTATCTTACAATTGTTACTATTTACTGAGATCTCACTTGAGTCCCGTTCAAACGCAGACCATATTCATTTGCTATCAATATATATCCTATTTAGGTTGATGACCAACAGAGTTAACAAACAGCGTCAATTCGCCAGTTGATTAACTATAGTGTTGTTGTTTATATTCTGATTTAGGTTGATGACCCACGAAGTTAACGAACAGCGCCAATTCACCAGTTGATTAACTATTGAGTTGATGTTGATTTGATTCTATTGTAGATATATACAGGTTGCACCCTCTTAGGTAAATATTACGATGAGTATAGAGGTGTGACCAACGGAAGTAACAAACAGCGCCAATTCGCCAGTTGATTACCTTACTTTGTTGATTTCACATATACTTTGTTTCAAACCTTGTAGAACGGGTTGCTTAGCGTATAGGTGTCCCCCCTTGAGCTAACGAACAGCGTATTCGCCAGTTGGTTAACTTACTATTACATTTTACCATCTTGGTTTGTACAATTTATCCAAGATAGCACAACCCTGTATATTTCCAAAATATTGATCTTTATAATTTCTATTGATATGACTTAATACAACCCTGTATGTATTTTAATATTGATTATTATAATTTCTATTGAAATAACTTAATATAACCCTGTATATTTCTTAATATTGATTTTTATTATTTCTATTAAAATACTCCAAATTTCATTCATCGTAAAACAGATGTTATCCTATCTTTCGGGGTGTATGACCTGAAAGCCATGTGGTTTATTGGTTAAATTGATAATATTTTACAGCAAATGTCAGGCCGCCCTTAAACGAAACCGGGGTGGTATCTCAAAGAAGGTTAAATAAATCTTTTGACTCACCATTGAAAATACAGACATTAAATTATGTACTAATTTCATCTAGCGTCGTGGAAGGCGTCGATGTAGGTACGTCGCAGGGTTGGGCGTCGAGGCGTCCATCGTCGAGACGTCTAGCGTCGTGATGGAAGGGAAGGTATTTAATACGGTACTGTATTGGGACAGATATACGGTAGAATTAAGTAGGTGGTGCGGGACGTGATATTATGAAGGAAATAATTATGGACGGCAAAGCGTCGGAAATAAGGCGTGGGACGTTGAGCGTCGAAATGAGTGTACGGTAGGAAATACTTAGATGGTGAGGAATGTGACAGCGTTCGAGACGTAGGGAGTAGGATGGCAGGAAGTTGAGCGTCGAGACGTTGACACCGTCGGGGATAGGAGGTATTGTAGGATAGACGTCGTTTAGGAGGAGCGTTTAGGAAAGGTACAGATTATATAACTGGGTACAGATAATAAAATGTATGCTTGCACATCAAATGATAAAAATTGAATCGATCCGAGCTCATTTTCGTCAGACTTTTTATACACAGTTTAATCGTTTCTGTGACGTCTCTATCGTTTTGTTTCTCATAGAAAAAAAACGAATGTAGGTGCAAAAGGGGGTGGGTTATTTATTACTTGCCTTGAAAGTTTTGTATATCGAAATATTGTCGATATCGGTCTGAACATCGAAACTAGGAAAATAAGCGACTTAAGTGTTTTAATGATAATTACTTCGTAAACAGAAATACACTTTATGGTGTTTTCTTTCTCTAGGAACTCAGCCACGTGCATCTTTTACGGACGTGGTTATAGATATTATTTATTAGGTGTCGTAAATAAGATTTAATTATCTGGGAGATTTTTCGTTAAATGAAGAATTTTGAATTTAAAAGAATGCAATATTGTATTTAATAAATGGAATTAATAAATTATTAAGGTACCTGGGTGCGGTAGGTTACATAGCTGAGAATTTCTTTCAATTATATTATCAATAATTGTACAATTAGAAAACTTAGAAGATAAGAATCCTTAAAGATTCAGACTTGCAGAGGCAGAATCCAGTTTTTGATTTTAACTGATATTGAGTGAATATTTTTTATATCTTACCGTGTAAGAATTTAATTATTAATTCATGTATGTTTTATTTACAAATGTTAATTTGCTTGCGGTTCAAAGCTCTTCTGTATCACACGTTGTGTCCAGAAATTTTTACAATTTTGTAAAATTGCCACAAAATATTAAAGAACTGAATAAGATAAGCAAAGTTATTAGTTAAATGAATTTTTTACCATAAAAACTAGGTTTTTATGACGTACGATTTTCCTAGAATTATAGATTGCATTAACTGCACCCGTATAGCTATTTTTACGCCAACAATTAACGATTCAGATTATCCTGAACATCGATATATATATTATGTGATTAGAAAAAATCATCGTTCGACAAATTTACAATTGGTTTGTTGTAATTAAATTACATAATCCTTATTATTTTATGGCCTGCACATTACTTGAATTCAACGATATAGACAGTTTACAGTGATGCCAGACATATTATTTGCTTGTTAAAAACGTACACGTCTTAAAAAACGAATACTCATCGAACGTCAGTCAAGAATATAGATTTCAAAAACTACTCGCTTTTCAACCACTCACTTTCGAAAACAGTTCGTTTTTTAGCGATTGTCGAGGATAGCCGCCCTGGGCTGCAAGAAAGAATGGAGCCAAGAATCCATCGCGCTTGCAACCGAAAGACGTGCTATTCAGTGGTACACGGACGGTTCCCAAAACCATAGAAGGAACTGGAATAGGAGTATATGGGCCGAGAACCAAAGCTTGGGAAAATACCCAAGCATCTTCCATGCAAAAATTCACGCCATCGAGAAGTGTATCCAGTTTAACATCGAGAGAAACTATCATAGACAATAGATTATCATCATGTCCGATAGTCAAGCAGCCATCAAAGCGCTGAGCTCTTACGTAATCAGCTCAAAAATGGTCTGGAGATGCCCAGAACAATTGAATGAGCTAGGCGAGAAAAATAAGTTACTCTCACTTGGGTCCCGGGACATAACGGGGTACAGAGTAACGAGATTGCAGATATTCTTGCAAGGAAATGGGCTCAAACACCCTTTGTAGGACCTGAGCCATTCTGCGATCTCAGCAGTAACTTAATAGTAAGAGAAATTAAAAAAGAATAAGCAGTAGAAGAACCGATAATTGGAACAATCTCTTGGGGCTGAGACAGGCCAAGATACTTCTGGGTGAATATAATCAGAAAAGATTGGAAGCCTGCATCTGCCTGAGCAAGAATAGACTACGTATTGTAATAGGGATCCTTACCGGGCATTGTCGACTAAAAGGACACCTAAGTTAACTGAGAGTAGTAGAGGATAGTGAGTGCAGATTCTGTGAGGAGGAGAACGAAACCTCCATTCACATTCTAAATGAATGTGTAGCACTCCAGAATCCAAGGGCACTATATCTAGGAGGATATCAAATAGAAGAAGGAGATTTAACTAACTTGAAGCCACTTCAAATTTTACAATTACTTGAGAAAATAGGATTGGAAGGGTCGTTATAGGCATTGAGACATTTCCTTAGTGCATTGGCGAAAGAAGGGGGCACAATAGATCTTTTAGGTCGCAGTGTATTAACACCCCATTCTCAACATAACACAACATAATGTCCATAATAATACTAAAATCGATATGATTGTTAGTTTATTGAAATTGTTGTAAATTAGATCCTAGATATTTATCTTTAACAATTATTATTAAAATAATTTTAAAATAACTAATTTTTGTTTGCTTTTTATTCTGGTTAAACACATAACCGATTAGATCATTCAATTGACGCAAGGCCTATTAGCTCAGGTGGTGGAGTATCAAACTTTATCAACTTTGCCATTTGAGACCTGGAGAGCGACCGCGTTTAGAAAATATGAAAATTGAATACATACAATTATTGTTGATTATTTTTTAAATACATTTTAATTATTATAATAATAACCTGGTTTTCCATTTTTTGATGAAATTATTTTGTGGTCGTAGGAAAAATATTGTACATCACTTGTGTGAAAAGTGATTTTCCACACTCGTAATATAATGTACTATTTGATCCCCACTGACAGATATCCTAATAAATAGATAAGTTTTGCATAATAGGAGTTGTAGAACTATGACAGAAGTTTGCTTACCCCTGTATACCAACAAACGGTTTTATACATTTATTTAGTTTTCTATTTATACAAGTGAAAATAAAAATAAAATTGGTACCTAACATACCATTCCGAACGAATTGAAAGAATGTCTGTTTAGTTCCCATGGTATTCCGAGTTTGCCTTTAAATAGAATTTTAAAAATGTAATCCCTCATTTGTCACACTTTACCATTCTAATTTCAATTTTATTCCATTGAGATAAAATAAAATTCTTGTTGTATTTCCATTTCCACAGCAATGTTAAAGTCACCTTGTATACTGTAAGGTGCAGTACCGTATTTAATGTAACACATAACCATTTAATCCATTTGATAAATGGATTGTTTGATGATGGTTTCCAATTTCTTTAAGAAATGGCCTAATTATTTTTTAATTGACATAGTGAAAGAGGAAATATTAGCATTATGTAGTAGGCATCTAATAGCATGGTTATGATGTAACTAATAATAATAATCACAAATGCTGGTAAAAATGATGAATAATGAAAACTGAAGGATTGAAGATAAACTAGATGAAACCAAGAATAGAGTGTGAAAGTAAAAATTAACACATATGAAAATAAAAATATTAAAATTAAATTTATTATTTATGTTATTTATGTAATTTTAAAATAATGTGTTTTTGTGAAATTTAACTGGGTGTTCACTGCACAAATGAACCAATGGAGAAACCGCCACTGCTTAACGTTATTAAAATGATCCACGTCACTAATAATAATAGAGCAGTAAATAGAACTATGATTTACTTGATTTTTCCAATGATTTGTTATTTTCTAAACGTTTAATGTTTTCTAAAATTACTTTAACAATAGAAAAAAAAAGATTGTCAATAAGAAAATATTTTATTTTAAATACCTAATAGTTTAAAATTAAAGGCAAAATAACGAAAAGACTCTTCAGTCAAGAAGAAAGTTGGTACTCTTTTACCCGAACCATGAAAGTTGATA